TTTTTTTTTTTCAGCTTTATTTCAATTAATATAAATAATTTTTTTATAGTTTTTGTGAACAATAACAACACTGCTTATGATTTCCTCAGACTTTAGAAAGCAGAATCAAATAACATTAAATTTGTTAGATATGTAAGAAATGAGCACTGTAAAAAAAGATAAAATCATTGGTCATGATTAGAATATTGGCACATCTTTTTGTATGTAATAAATAATAGGTAATAAGAACTGAGGTTAATATCTTTTTTTTTTCTTGTTGTCAGGATTATGAACGCTCGCTCAGACAGCTGAGTCTGGATGACATTGAGCGTCTGGCCAGTCGTCTGCTGCATCCAGAGACAGAGGGCATGGATACCTCATACATGGACTGAAACACTAAACTGATGGAAACGGACCAGTCAGGGAGTGGGATGTATTTCATATGGACTTTTAGGGGCCTCTCTGATCTTCAAGAGGCCACAATGCTTACCGTTGCTTTCCCATCAGAGGAAACCAGAGGTGCTTTTAGTGCAACTTTGTAAATATTGTGTGCAAATTATTAAAGTACAATAAAAAGTGTTCTTTATCAGTTTTTTTAATTTATTTATTTGGAATTAACAGCCAGCTTGGTTTTAAATGCATCATTCTTTTTTTTGGTTTTGGTGTTTCTCTTACATTTGGCCCAAATAAAAATGATGCCTGAATTAATTTGATTTTTTTTGCATTTTGGCCTATATAATTGAGGAGCTCCTAGGTTGAGTATGGGTATATATATTAATGAATACAAGCATAACATGTAACTGTCCAATGGCAAATCAAAACACTGAGTTAAGCATGACGTAACCTCATTAGTGTGCTTCTCACATTTACATACTCAACAGCTATATGTGCAAAAACGTACATCTTTTGTAAACCATTATAACTGGCATGGTTGAAATATGTTACAGAAACAATCAAGTGGCTTAAAACACTTTCAGAAGTCCTTACAGTCCAACTAAGACTAAAATATTCTCAGATTTAATGTTGAAGTCAACCTAGAAGATCCCAGTACCCTCATGTCCAAGTTAATACACTGTTAGCACATCCTTACTCACTTGTGTATATTCATGACACTAGTAGGGCTGGGAGATGAGTGAAGAAATCAGTTTGATATGTTTATCTTCTGACAATAGACGATGCCCTGATTTATTTATCTAGAGAAACTATAATTTCAAACAAACAGCAATTTTGTGAAGTGGAGCTTATGTAAAAAGTAAAAAATACAGTTTAAAAAAATCTATGCATGTTTTCCATACCTTTTCCTTACATAGACACGGGTAAATATATTTAATAATTTTTATATATGCAGACACTAATAAAAACAATACCTACTTTTTGTAATTTTAAAACATTTGAAATGTGAAACTGGGATTTCCATGATAATTTTTGAATGATAAATCAAATTAACATAACTGATCTAAAGAGCTCCTAAGCCATTTCTGCATGTGTATTTTACTGAGAAGCTATGGTGTAAACAAATGTTGGTTGATTTTAAATACCAGATAAAATATTTTATTAATATTGTGATATTTCCCAGCCCTATTACATATGTAATGTTTTTAAATGAATA